TGCCTCAAATAATCTTCTGGTTATATGTATTTTGTTTTTGGATAGAATTGATCTATTTCATCACACTGTCATTTGTTATAATTTGCAATCGCTTCGCCATATAGGAACATTGCATTTCTGAGCATTACATTCTCATTTTTGGTGATTCAATCGATATTAGTTGGTTCCTTAACACCATTTAAAGAACTAACTTCTACTGTTCCAACCACTTCATTTTTGAAGGTCTATCATGTTCCTGAAGTTGTGTCTGCTTAAGCTACAAATTTGCATGGAAGAGCATCGTCGTTAGATGGGAAACAACATTTAGATCAAATAGGTGGACAAAAGAGTTTTATAGTTGGAATTGCAAGACCTCTACCATGAGCCAAAGAAGTTTTCTCTATTAATTTGATGACTTGGATAAGAGCAATAATTTTTTAATATGCTTAATACATCTTATATCATTATGGAGTTATTGTGACTATTAAATGATAAAAAATATAGATAATGACAAAGATTCAAACTTCCTATAATTCAAATTGCACATATATTTTGAGGATTACATAGTCACAATAACTCCCTAACGATGTAAGATATATTAAGCATATTAAAAAATGATTGCCCTTATCCAAGTAGCTAAATTAATAGAGAAAACTATATTGGAAAGAAAACTCTCATGATAGAGGTCTTGCAATTCCAACCATAGAACTCTTCGATCCACCTATTTGATATGAATGTTGTTTCTCATCCAACGGTGATGCTTTTCCATGTAAATTAGTAGCTTTATCATACACAGTTTCAAAGACACGACAGAACTTTAAGAATGAAGTGGTCGGGACAAGAATAACTGGTTCTTTTAATAGCGTTAAGGAACTGGTTGATGCTGATCAAATCACCAAAAATGAGATTGGAATGCTTGGAAATGTAGTGCTCCTTTATGACGAAATAACTACAAGTTCTGACAGATCAAACATAGTTGACAGCGTGGTGAAATAGATCAGTATTATCCAAAAATAAAATACATGTAACCTGAAGACTATTTGAGGCATATATCCATGCGAGTATAAAAACATAAATTGAAATTTCAATACGTTGAGTGTTGAAGGTACACAAGCCATTAATCTGAGCATGTGAAAAATGAGAATTTTAAGATGCATATGTTCCAATACTAAAATAATAGATTGAAAAATGATTGTGTTGGAGAGATAGTGAGACAAACATGTATTGAAGAAATAATCGTTAAAATAACTTTACGTTATCTGAGCATATGCAAAGAGTAAAAGATGCACAATAAAATAACATATAAAGTTAATGTTTAAGTTAACAAAAGGAAAAAAAAGTATGGAATGTAGTTAATATGTATAACCAAGTTGTAAAAATAAAAAATAAAAATAAATACTAGGCCAAAAAAATTATAACACATTTTATAACGCATAATCTCGTGCTTTCTGAAGGATTTCACAATTATATTTTTAAGAAAATTGCAAATATTATTTAACAGAATTGAAATGTCAAATGCATATTTCATGTGTATTCCTTCTAATATAATGCCTCTTAATCTAAAAAAAAGATTGATGTAGATTTTTTAAGCAGAGTTGTAACAAAATAGTTTTAACAAAAAAAAAATTCTTATGCATTACTTTTCATTCTGCTCATCATCAATGTAATCTTCATCAATATCATTCAATATCTTTTGGCATACTAGAAGCTTTGTTCTTGAATCCTTATCAACATATATAAATTCTGAGACATACGAGGTAGCATCAGTTTCAGAAAAATTCGGTTTGACTGGCTAATCAGATTCTTGCAAGTGGTTCTTTGGTGCCCCTAAGAACCCTAACATTCATATTTAATATTGTGCAATTTGTCTGGACCTTCACAACCTCATTTAGTGCAATGATAAGCTCTACTTTATAAGTCCGAGTTAATTTGTTTTGGAGATATGTTTGGATAAATTTTTATCATATCTTGTATTTCATAGCCACCCAACTAGTCGTTGTCTATTTGTTTCAGTGATTTTGACGCTTGGGCAACTATGTGAAGCTTCGATGTTCCTTACTTCAAATGTTTGTTTGTTGATCAAAATTGAAACTCTCACTCTCCATGGGCAGTCACTATATGAACAAATAACAATAACTCTTTCTATCGCTCGCCTTGAACTTTATTCCAAAATTTTCACCAATGACCAATGTTCAAAAAAATTATCTCAAACTTGCTAAATGTTTAAACTGAGAATCTTTTTAAAGATATATTATTAGTCATTAGGCTCATGAGTTGTCCATCTATATACTCATCAAGTTCATTTGTGCTTCCGCTAGTACTATCAAAGTTTGATTGACAATACTCAATTAATTCACCACCATGTGACATGATGAACTTTAAAGTGCACCGACAAATACATTTATTAAAATGTTATAAAAGTTTTATATAATCATAAGGAAAAAAAAAGGTACTAAACTTATTAAAGTGGATGAAATTTAGACTAGGGTGCAATATATAAAATATGTTTATGAGGAAACTAATATTGCATATTTAAGAAAAATAAGTACTAAATAATTAAATATTTCTGATCTATTAACTAAACTTTCATTTGCGGTGAAAGCATAAGCATAGAAAGCTATTACTTCTTTATTACATATAATATAATCTCAAAAAAAAAAAACAATACTATAATCAGAGATTATACTAAATATCATCGTCAGTCAACCTAACATTGAACCCATCTATCCTCTAATGATTTGGTATCTCAATATATAGTTAAAATTCTCTTAAAAGTTAAAATTAAGAATTTTTATTGTTGATATTAAGTAAATTGATCATTGACCTCTATCTCCGTTAGGAAATATGAAGGATTCGAAACCTCCTAGAAAAAAAAAATCAAAAGAGTATAAAACAAACTTCTAGTCATTAATGCTACATATTAAAATTTTTGTTGATTGGTATATAAAAGGGAACTAGGTTAAGTGAACAAGTGTATGAGATGTTTTTGAAACTAAAAAAAATGGATCATTATAATAAGAGCACAAACACAAAGAGACACAAAAATATATATTGAACTTCAAAATAGTTCAAAGTTCAAAGTAAGACCCTCTTGTTTTACAAAGGGGCATTTGCATACATGGCACACAGTTTATATGTATCTACATAGCTCACAACTAAAGTTTCATATTTTCACACATAACTAAAAAAAACACAAATGACTCCTATCCTCTGAAACAGTAAAATTTTGTTTAAAGAGATAGATTTTTTTGAGTCTTTTCACTTCATCATCGTCTCTTGAGGAAACTCTGCACTCATATTTCTAAGCAAATCAGAAAAGCCCCTTCCTTCCATAGCCATAAATAATTCCTTCTAATCTCTGTAGCGAAAAAATGTTCGTAATCATCCCTAACCAATCTTCTTTAAAAAATAACTTTCCCTCAAATTTAGGAAGATTCGAAAAAACACTAACATGAGTCTCAAGCAAAAGCCAACATGAGCAAACCCAAGCTATATTTATCTAGAAAAAAAGAAACTTTGATGAGCTATATTGATGATCTGTAAGAATGGTGAATCCAAATTTACAATAAAAGTGGAGTGCATTCTCTGAAGCGTGTAAGGAGGAAGAAGATGAGGGAATGGGGCGATGGAGAGGGAGCCTAGCATGGCGAAGCCGGAGACCTAGCAAACGATTCGAGTCTAGTGTGGGAAGGAGACGGGGCAAATGATTCTAACGTGAGGGAGATGGAGAAGTGAGTTTTGGTGGCAGAAATGAGGAGGCTTAGGTTTAGGGTGGGTAATTTGAAATATTTAATGTTTAGGTGTTTAGTTTGTTATTTATAAAGTTTTAGGTGGTTTGTAGGTAACATCCCCTTTTTTTATTTCATAACTCCTAGGAATTGTAGGAATTTTTATATAAAAAATTTTGATTTTTCTATAAAAACTTAATCATGGTATTTATATTATAAATATGATATATATGGAGGAGGGCGTTGCAAGCCAGCCCTTCCTTGCATTATAAACCAATAATCTCCCTCCCAGACAGTACACTGCCTATACTTATTAAAAAAGTGATTATCGACACCAACATGAGGCAAAATTTTAAATATATTATTAAACATGATCTTGTAAATTCCTTAGTCAATTCCTAAAAAAATGATAGCTTCCATCATTCTTAGCCAGCAACGCTGAACATATCACATTAATATCTATTATATTTGAATGCATCAGCATTATTTCTGCTAATATTTTTCCATTTTATTCAACTCTTGAATGTTCCTTATTTTCCATCCAAATTCATGGAAGTATGGAACTATACATATCTTCCAATAGTCATCATAAGTTGACTCATAGCATTCTTGCTGAAATCTATATATGGCTTTCCATATAAATATGTTAAGTTGACTTACAGCATTATTGCTTGATTCTATATATGGCTTTTTGTAGTTCATGCCATGGAAAAGGGAGGCTCATAAGTTTTCAGGTCTCTAATAATCATTTACAATTCCAGTGTTCTTGGTATGCTTTTTTTCAAATCCTGATATCTTTTACTGCCTTCAGTTTACTTGTCAAATCTTAGCATAGACAAAGATTTACCGAGTTTTTTGCACTATTTGATTTGTAAACACTATGAAAAATGGTTTGTAAACACCATAGAAACAATTCACTCAGTTTTTTATTTTGGAAAATTTACATGCTATAACACAAGTCTTATATATTTACATATCTAATTCCTAAAGTTTCAAATTTACACTCATAACACTTTGATGTCATAAAAACGTGCATGAAACGATTTATTTCACTACTAAAAAGTTAATAATTGTGGTATTTTCAATGCAATGTAAAGTTTTGAGTTTTATAAATGTAGATATGAAAATTTAGGTGTGAGATGTAAATACATAAGAACTGTGTGGTATGTATGTAAATGTCCCCTTTATTGTTTAGCTGCTAGAATAGAATCATGGCCTCCTTGCTTTTGAAGAATATTGTTTGCTTGTATAATTCACATACATCGTCGTAATTCTAACTATATATTCTTGTAGACCCACAGGTTCGACAATGGTTCACTCGGTAGTTGAAGATTCTGAAAACAAGGAGCTCGACATAGCTATCCTTTCTTCTTCGCATCGGTTGTCGTCTGATAACTTCACATCAGCTTATAAGGTTGGTCTCCCGCCTGGACGAACTTTGGTGAGTGAATTTGGTGATAAGCTGAAGGAAGCTTTATTTACGAATGATCCTTTGCGGCCTTACAAGAATAAAAAACGATCAAGGCAATTTATAATAGGACTTCAGTCCTTATTCCCAATTCTTGAGTGGGGGAAACATTAAGTTGAAAGGAGATGTTATTGCTGGATTGACAATTGCAAGTCTTTGCATCCCTCAGGTTTGTCTAATTTTACAATTAATGAAATTCTTTGATTTTATTTTTCCTTAAATTGTTTTTTTTATTTTCTTTGTTTTTACATCAGGATATTGGGTATGCCAAACTTGCAAACTTGGATCCTCAGTATGGGTTATGTAAGTTATCTTTGCTATGAAAAATTGAATGAGATTATAGAAGCACAAATAAAAATTGAATAATAATAATAACCTACTTTCTCTTTCATAATTTGGAATTGTAGATTCTAGCTTTGTGTCACCGCTTGTTTATGCTGTTCTGGGAAGTTCGAGAGATATTGCCATTGGCCCAGTTGCCGTTGTGTCCCTCTTGCTCGGCAGCCTTCTTCAGAAAGAATTTGATTACGTGAAGAATAGGGCAGAATATTATAGGCTGGCATTTACTGCTACCTTTTTTGCTGGTGTTTGTGAGGCAGCGCTTGGATGCTTGAGGTGAGCTGAAACAATTTATTCCTTAAAATCTGTCATTTGGTCTTGTATTACTGGTATTATAAATGTTCTTTTCTTAAATCATTTGATTTTTTTTTTCACGTGTTCCCTTCAGATTGGGATTTATAATAGACTTCCTATCTCATGCTGCTATTATTGGATTCATGGGCGGGGCAGCCATTACAATTGGCCTTCAACAGCTGAAAGGATTTCTAGGTATTAAGAACTTTACAAAGAAGACGGATATAATATCTGTGATGAAGTCTGTCTGGGGTTCAGTTCATCATGGTGTAAGAATTTTTTTGTTTCTGTTTAATCAAATAAAGAACGTATTATATTCAAGTTGTATAAGAATTCTTGACTGCTTATTTGCAGTGGAACTGGCAAACTATAATTATTGGGATGGCCTTCTTGGGATTTCTTCTTCTTGCTAAATATATAGTGAGTGGTTTCATCATAATTCAAAAGAGATAATTAAATATTTGAGTTTTTGATACTTAAATGATGATATATATATGTACTTTTTTTCTGGTTTAGGGAAAGAAGAGGAGTCTCTTTTGGGTGCCAGCAATCGCACCACTAATCTCTATAATTCTTTCCACTTTCTTTGTGTACATCACCCATGCCAACAAACATGGGGTTCAGATTGTAAGTACTCCGAAATTTAAGTCCTTTCTGTCTGGTGTTCTAATTTGAATAAATATTTTATGGAGCGTTAGCCATATTGATATGTGTAGGTGAATCATATAAAAAAAGGCATTAATCCATCGTCGGCACATCAAATTTACTTTAGTGGTTCAAATCTTATAAAAGGAGTAAAGATTGGTGTTGTTTCTGGGATGATAGCAATGACTGTGAGTTCTGATTATTTATAAGCAATTCAAAGATCTTATTGATGCATAGATAGATTCCAATTTCCATTGCTTCAATTAATTATTTTGATATCTTCAGGAAGCTGTGGCAATAGGTAGAACATTTGCTGCCATGAAGGAATATCAGTTGGATGGAAACAAAGAAATGGTGGCCCTTGGAACTATGAACATTATTGGGTCTTTGACTTCTTGCTACATAGCCACCGGTAAGGAATACATGTTTCATAGAATCAAGTCAACAATAAATCAACTTATTATTCAGTTACTAATGTAGGCTTGAATTAAAATTTTATGATAAAATAAAGTGTCATCTTAATAGCTTATTCAACTATGTTATACCGCCCTTAGAGTCACTGGCTCTTGATCCTTAATCATGATTGAAGGACACCAAAGCTCTCAGGAGCCATAAATTGCATGAATCATTCAGTTTTAATTGATCTATCTACTCTAATATGATTTTTAAATGGAGCGTTATTGCTCAAATTGGGCCAAATAGAAGAACCTAAAAACTTAAGTGATGAAGTTTTCATACAAATTAACAAAGTAAAATGCTAAATAGTGCCTTGATGATTTATATGAGGTCATTTTATTCTCAGTGTCTATAAAAATATCAAATCAGTCCTTTGAATTTCTTAATAGAGATCGAAATAGTCCACCATGAGAATTATTTCAGCTTATTTTATATATGTCAATCTTGAGTAAATTGAGTAAATTGACTGAATGTCTTTTTCTTTTGCTTTCATTACAATAAATAATAATCTATATAATCTATTTTACGTAAATTAATACATATTCCTAATCTAAATATCTTCAACTATAAGGAAAGAAAATGTAAAATTAACAAGAGAGGTAAATCAAGAGAGAAAAATTAGACGTAATTTAAATAAGAAAACTCCTAATTATAGGAAGCTCCTAATTATAAAAAAGTCCTAATTCTAGCTGCTTGATTTCTGTCATTCTTGATTGATATCCCCCCCCCCTCAATTTGATGTTGGCTGATCAAGAAGCATCAATTTGTGAACAAGAAACTGATGATGCTGTCGAGAAAGAGTCATAGTAAATATATCAGCCGTTTGAATATCAGAAGAGAAATAACATCATTATCATAAGCTTCTCAAATAGAATGACAGTTCATTTTAATGTATTTCATGCGCTCCTGAAATATAGGATTAACAGTAGTTTGGATAGAGCATAAAGAGAATAGACTCAAGTTGAGGAAAACCAAGCTCAACCAACAAACCTCGAAGTCAAATGATCTCAGAACAAACAAAGGACATATCACGATATTCAGACTCACTAAAAGACTTAGCCACTCGATCTTGTTTCTTACTCTTCCAAGAAATTAAAGAGTTGTTGAGAAACATACACCAACCAGTAATAGATCGACGTCTATCGGAATAACCAGCCCAATTAGCATCACTATAGGTTGTTAAGCGAATAGAAGATTTCGCAGAAAAGGAAAAAACCACGATGAAAAATACCTTTCAAATACCTAACAGTACGTCAAACTGCAGCTAAATAAAGATTTGTAGGTGCTTGCATAAATTGACTAACTTGTTGAACAACAAGTAAAATATCAGGATGTGTAATAGTCGGATAATTAAGACTCCCAACAAGTTGTCGATACAGAGTTGGATCAAACAGAAAGTCATCATCATTCCGTTGATATTTAACATTCACTTCTAAAGGAATATCAATAGGATGACCCTCTTGGAGATTAGTCAAAGCAATGTGTTCCTTAGTATAGTTATGCGGATGAAGAAAAATACCGACGAGAGAAGAGTGAACGTTAAAACCTAAGAAATAAGTTAAGGCCTTCAAATCCTTCATATGAAAAGAACCCTGAAGATGTTCCTGTAACTGAGGCATCAATTGAGTATCGGATCTTGTGATAACAATATCATCAACATAAACTAATAACAAAACATTTCTCTTGTAAATCTTGCAAAGAAATAATGAATAATCATACTGACTTTGAATAAAAGAAAAGCTAAGAAGAGTATTGTGAAACTTTTCAAACCAGACCTGTGGTGTCTGTTTCAAACCATATAGAAACCATTTGAGCTTACAAACATCATGTGAGGGTGTAGAAAATAATTCTGGAGAAGGAGTCATATAGATATCCTCATTGAGGTTCCCATGCAAAAATGCATTTTTAATATCCATCTATTGTAAGAACTAGCATTTAAATGCAGTAATAGATAGGACAAGTCAGACAGTTGTCATCTTAGCCACAGGTGCAAAGTTCTCTTCTTAAGCACTCCCATATTTCTGTCGATTGTCAAGAGTTGTCAATCTTGTCTTATATCTGTCAAGAGAACCATCAGATCGGAGCTTAAGAGAATAAACTCATTTACAACTAATGGGTATAACGCCTGCAAGACGTGAAATAATATCTCAAGTGTGATTGTCTTGAAGTGCCTGAAGTTGTTCTTGCATGGTTTTTATCCAACAAGTCTGTTTAGCAGTCTGAGAATAAGATGTATGAACTGTAGTATTGCAGAATAGTCATATCTATCTGGGGGACGAATTTGCGGAGTTTATTGTCGAATAATCTTTGGAGCATTTTCAGCAGCAGAATCGGGAAGACTTGGAGATGAAGGGGACAGACGTTGTGTGTAGACAAGGCTAGGCTTTAATTGTTTATCAAAAGAAGAATCATCAAAGTGAGGAAGTACAATAGTATCGGATGTCGAAAGATGATACTGAAAATAATATTCATGTTCAAAGAGCTCACATTCTGAGAGATACGTCATTAATTGTTAATCGAATCATAACACACAAAACATTTATGATTAGGACTGTAACCCATAAAGACATATCAAACAGACTGGGCTACCAACTTATGACGTTTATGGGCAGGTAAATGAATAAAACAAATACATCCGAAAGTATGTAGCATATGACAATTATGATGTTTATAAAAAATTCAATGAAAGGTAAAATCATACTTCAATTGTTGAGATGGTAAACGATTAATCAGATAAACTGCAGTAGATAAAACTTCAATATAAAGCTTAGCTGGAACAGAATGTTCTAACAACAATGCGCGCACTATATCTAACAAATGTCGGTTTTTCTGTTCAACAACTCCATTTTGCTAAGGTTTATAAGGAATACCCTTGTTATGGAGAAATGCTTGAAATTTATGAGACATGTATTCACCACTATTATTAGACCGTAAGGTTTTAATACAAGTAGAGAACTAAGTTAAAATATATGTCACAGAAGGTTTGAAATATGGTAAACACTTCTACTTTGGAATGCAAAAGATAGATCCATGTGAATCGGCTGTAATCGTCAATAAATATCATAAAATATTTATACCAGACATATGAAATAATCAGTGTAATTCCCCAAACATCATTATGTATAATGTCAAAATATTTATTGACATAACTACCCAAAATAGGAAATGCAATGTCTTACTTTTGCCTAGTTTACAAGAAGAACGACCAATTAATAAACTTTATTTCAATAGAATCAAAAACACCACTTTTCAACGAATGATTCAAAACAACATTATTTGGATGACCTAATCGTTTATACCAGACGCCTAACTTATTTTCAACAACTATAGAAGCTAATGACAGTCCGTGGTATGATAAATTGTAATGGAAATAACCTGTCCACTTTAAATCCTTCGTTATCACCTTCCCCGACACTTGATCTTACACAATACAACCATCACGAGAAAAGTGTATATCACAGTTGTTATCTACCATTTGACCAACATAAAGTAAGCTCATAGTTAATTTAGGAGAAAACAAGACATGTCGGAAGGAGCTAATATCATTAACTGTCGTAATTAGAATATTATTTCCATCAACAACCTGAATATGTTGAGTATCAATATACGGGCGTTGATTATGCAATAAATCAGTTATGTGAATCACATGACCTGTGGCACCAGGATCAACAAACCAATGAGAATGAATATAAGTAATAGTCTTACCTTTCCCTTAAAGACCAAGAACAGAAATGGCAGAGAATCATCTAGTGTGAGAACAGATTGATTATTGCTAGCAACCATGAATGTCGAACCAAGATTGTGAGAGTCGGATACCGCAACATGAAGGGCTTGTGGTTTGCGGTTTTTAGGCCTTGGAGGACACTTCTTAATAATATATCTGTTTTACTTGCAATAATTACAAAACTTCTTACTACAATGGCAGACAGTATGACCAAATTCTTTGCAGCTGTAACACTTCTTTGTTTTCTTCCTTGGGGTCGGAGCAACATATGCAATATAAACTATTTTAGATGATCCACCAGCTGCACTGATAGCGGCTTGTGTCGCCAGTCTTTGTTCTTCACGCGGTAATTCACCAAAACATACATCAAAACAAGGAATCAGATCTCTGTTCAATAACCCAACCCGAGCAGTTTCAAATTCAGGTCCAAGCTTCATAAAAAATTGGTCACGACAACTCACTTCATTAATAGCTTAAAGACTAGTTAATTCTCCTTTGACACCTTAACATAGATAATACTAGGATATTCATTTCATAAATTAAGAAAACCAGAATAATATTATTCAATTAAGAGATTACCTTGAATATAATTACGTATATCAAGTTACAATTGAAAGCGTCGTGCAATATTATCTTGATTGTAGACGCATTTCAAGTATTCCCACATTTCTTTAGCTGTGCCAAAGAATCATAAATTGTTCATCATATGAACTTCAATAGATCCCAAAATCCAATAAACGATCCGAGCATCCTTGGCCTCCCCTTGATCAAGATCTTTTGACTCTGTAAGTGTTGGAAAAGACCCATCAATATGACCCCAAAGCTCAATCTCTTTCAAAAAAATCTTGAACTAAAGTCCTCATGTTGCATAATTCTTTTTTGAAATCTGATAGCTAAAATCTCATGTTTTTCTCATAAGTCATTCTAACAGAATTGTCACTCACGAGTTGATTACCAACAAAGTTGTTGATCAAAATTAATTAACCTAAAACTAAAGAAAACAAAGAACCAACAATTTCAAGAATAAACAAAAAACTACAGACTCAACAACAGTAGATTTGCTGGCGATCCTTGAGTGCGGAGAAGAAAAGCGTGCACTGCCCCATGAATTCAAATCGGTCTGAAGGAGAGGAAGCCGAAGTCGAACCCGACGATACTTGAGTGTGGAGAAGAAAAAAACGTGCACTTCCTTGAATTTGAACTGTGACCAAACTAGAGGAAACTGAAGCCGAAGTCGACGTTCCTTGAGTGCGGAGAAGAAAAGCGTGCCGATGATTGAGTTCCAAAGCCGAAGACGAAGCCGATGATCTAAGATTTGCTCCTTGAGTGCTGATGATCTAGGGAAAATTTTGGCGCTGAAATAAGATCTAGGGTTTGCTCCCTAGCTCTGATACCATGTCAATCTTTTGAGTAAATTGGCTGAATGTCTTTTTTCCTTTGCTTTTATTACAATAAATAATAATTTGTGCAATCTATTTTAGGTAACCTAATGTATTTTAGTAATCTAAATATTTGCAGCTATAAGGAAAGAAAATTTATAATTAACAAGAAAGGTAAATCAGGAGAGAAAAATTGGAAGCAATTTAAATAAGGAAACTCTTAATTATAGGAAGTTCCTAATTATAGGAAACTCCTTATTCTAGCTGCTTGCTTTCTGTCATTCTTGATTGATAATATACCCTGACACTAAAATTGCCCCTTGCAATGAGTTTGGGGAATCTTATTTTTCACTTTTCTCCGAATTAAAATAAGAGTTAAGTTCTTAATTTACTAGGGGTATCTCTTGCAAATTAGCATAAGCTTTTAGGTTAAATAGTTCAATCCACAAATGTATTCATCTCAATTTTGGTTTCTGCCTTCCCGCCCTCCTTATAAAGCCAACCACTAACTATTTCTACACTAACATCTTTTGCAATCATATAATATCGAGCTAAATCTATTACTCTCAGATTTCATAACAAATATATTGCATAAAACAGGGAATTTATGTTTGATTTTCTTCTTCTAATCAGGTTCTTTCTCTAGATCAGCTGTGAATCACATGGCTGGATGTCAAACAGCTGCTTCCAATATTGTCATGTCCATAGTAGTGGGATTGACATTGGAACTCATCACTCCCCTATTCAAATACACACCAAATGCAATCCTTTCATCAATCATCATCAATGCTGTGATCGGCCTCATCGACTATGATGCGGCTATACTTATCTGGAAGGTTGATAAGCTTGACTTCATTGCCTGCATGGGAGCTTTTCTTGGTGTGCTCTTTGTTAGTGTTGAGATTGGTCTCTTAATTGCTGTAAGGGATTTGTTATCCTTCTCTTCAACTGATTCTGCATACAAACTTTGATCTAAGCTTGTTCCTTTCTTCTTACAGGTTTCAGTATCATTTTCTAAAATCCTTCTTCAGATGACTAGACCAAGAATTGTATTACTTGGAAAGCTCTCAAGGACTTCCATTTATAGGAACATTCAACAATACCCTGAGGCAAATAGAGTTCCCAAATTCGTAATTGTTAGAGTTGATTGTGCTATCTACTTCTCAAACTCTAACTATGCCAAGGAGAGGTACGTCACACAACGACTTGATTCATTCCATTTCTAAAAGAAGGCAGTTTAAGCAATGAAAAATACATCATGATGCATACACGTCCAATTCACGTGAAATTTAAACACATGCTTATATATAGATATGAAATGAACATTCCCAAATAATTTTATATTTTTCTTAAAGTATTTGTAATTTTTATTATGATTGCCAAAATTATAATATTTAGGACAATTATCAAGTAAATTTGAAAAGATTGAAATATATTAAGAAGTTTTTACTCACCCTTAAATGATAATTGGAACGAAACTCATGTATGGACAATATTATTAATGCATGATTTTTAATTTTTTTAATTAACCAATCTTCTAAAATTTTGAGAATAGAACCTTTAAATTTTAGAACATGAAGTTGTGCAAAACTATTTGGAAATCATATAATCGCACTCAAAGGTACATCAGTTAAAGTTTGATATTTACATTTATAACACTTTGTTATCATAAACCTCTGCATGAAAAGGTATTTCACTTTTAAAAAATTAGTAATTGTGGTATTTTTAATGTAATGTTAAAGATTTAAATATTTTACATACAGATATGAAAGTTAACGTGTTAGATATGTAAGTGTATAAGAATTATGTGGTTGCATGTAAATGCCTCTAAAATAAAATGGTTAAGCAATCTCAAATTTCAAATAGATAAAATAAATAATATTTCAATTATTTTAAATAAAAATAAAATTCCAAATAAACACAAAGTATGCCCTAAAGAGTAGTATAGATCTACGGGATGTATGCCACGGCCATATGATCACGCAAGAGTGGTTTGGTAATTTTATGAAAATGTGATTTTTTTTATTCAAAAAAATGCAAGAGGCATGCAAATAGTAAAGAAAATCTCAAATTTTATGGAATATTCTTAGCACTATAATAGCCAACCCCAATATTGTCAAGTTTATTTGGGGTCTTTAAAAAATACAAAGGTTTTGAAGTATTAAAATTATCAAAGAATCACCAAAAATTCCAAAATATGGTGTATGAAAGTATCAAAAGCATACTATAATTAACTTGGAATAATTTGTTAAAGACATGCACTATCTAAGTGAACACAATTATGTATGAAAGTATCAAAAGCATCCTATAATTAAATTGGAATAATTTGATAAAGACATGCACTATCTAAGTGAACACAAAAATAAGAAAATGCCCAACTTTACATGCAATATTCACTAAGGCCCTGTTTGGCACAGCTTTTTCATCGACGGTGGCGTTTTCAGAACGCCGCCTACCCGTTTGTTTCGAGCGTTCGTTCGGCGGCGTTCTGAACGCTGCGTCCCGCGGTTCGGTTTTTCTTCATTATGCGGATCGCGGGGCGCCTCCTGCGTTCGGCGTTGGCTGTTGGCGTTAGGGCTGCAATTCCTTCTTTTGCCCTTGGTGATCTCCCTCGCGCTCTCCCCTCGCTTCCTCCCTCTCCGAACGAAAGCATCATTAGGGCTCGATTTCTCGTTCTTTTTCCCTCTCCGGTAAGATCTGGATTCGTGAGTTTTATGGATCGATGAATTTTTTTTGGTTCTTCTACATGTACCTGCTTCTATTGCTTCGGATCTCTGAGTTTTGCGAGTGATTGTTTGGTAGTTAACATATTCTTCTAAAACTTCTCTTGATTTGGCATCTGTCTCACAAAGAACTTCCATTACTGGGAAACGTCTTACAAAAAAATTGTTTACATTATCCGTTGCATCTCTATTGAATGCTACAATATGGATTTGGGAAAGGAGTATCTTTATTACATGCTACAATTCGGCCATTCTTTTCTTCATCTCTACCCGATTTCTGTTGGTTCAAATCAGATTATGCATATGACCTTGACATTATGGATTATGCATATCACATTGCAAGCATGACATATGGTAACATCAAATTATTGCTTAGTCGTCTATACATATGATTAGTCAAAAAACTATTGCTTCTGAAATATGAAAATAGTAAGATTACTCATATCACCAGGCAAAATATCATTAGAGAAGCAATTGCCAGAACATTTCTCCATATCGAAGATGTTTCAAATTTTTAAAAACCTGAGACAATTTTTCTGATATGGGGAATGTATGAACAACAAACGAATGCTTCTAGATGCCTTTGAAATTTCAGCAAATATGTAAAGAATCAAGTGGTATGTATGTAGATATTCAAATTTCTGTAACAAGTGTATGACCATATAATATCATCCATATGTTCTCCTCAAAATCTGAGACACAATGCTCAATAGAATTATTCCAAATGGTTTCAGTGAATGGCATTAAATTCAGCAAGTGAATTGATTTCAGCCAATAACTATGTTCTCAGCCAATAACTCTGTTATATGGATCTTGCTTGCCTCTTACTGCTAGCCACTTCATTATTAATTGACACTAGTCACACATCTTGGCATTCAAATGAGATTTACAGTGAAATTTCTCCATATCTAAGATGTTTCAAATTTTTAAAAACCTGAGACATTTTTTCTGATATGGGGAATGTATGAACAACAAACGAATGCTTCTAGATGCCTTTGAAATTTCAGCAAATATGTAAAGAATCAAGTGGTATGTATGTAGATATTCAAATTTCTGTAACAAGTGTATGACCATATAATATCATCCATATGTTCTCCTCAAAATCTGAGACACAATGCTCATTAGAATTATTCCAAATGGTTTCAGTTAATGGCATTAAATTCAGCAAGAGAATTGATTTCAGCCAATAACTATGTTTTCAGCCAATAACTCTGTTATATGGATCTTGCTTGCCTCTTACTGCTAGCCACTTCATTATTAATTGACACTAGTCACATATCTTGGCATTCAAATGAGATTTACAGTGAAATTTCTCCATATCTAAGATGTTTCAAATTTTTAAAAACCTGATACATATTTTCTGAAATGGGGAATGTATGAACAACAAACGAATGCTTCTTGATGCCTTTGAAATTTCAGCAAATATGTAAAGAATCAAGTGGTATGTATGTAGATATTCAAATTTCTGTAACAAGTGTATGACCATATAATATCATCCATATGTTCTCCTCAAAATCTGAGACACAATGCTCATTAGAATTATTCCAAATGGTTTCAGTTAATGGCATTAAATTCAGCAAGTGAATTGATTTCAGCCAATAACTATGTTTTCAGCCAATAACTCTGTTATATGGATCTTGCTTGCCTCTTACTGCTAGCCACTTCATTATTAATTGACACTAGTCACATATCTTGGCATTCAAATGAGATTTACAGTGAAATTTCTCCATATCTAAGATGTTTCAAATTTTTAAAAACCTGATACATATTTTCTGAAATGGGGAATGTATGAACAACAAACGAATGCTTCTACATGCCTTTGAAGTTTCAGCAAATATGTAAAGAATCAAGTGGTATGTATGTAGATATTCAAATTTCTGTAACAAGTGTATGACCATATAATATCATCCATATGTTCTCCTCAAAATCTGAGACACAATGCTCATTAGAATTATTCCAAATGGTTTCAGTTAATGGCATTAAATTCAGCAAGTGAATTGATTTCAGCCAATAACTATGTTTTCAGCCAATAACTCTGTTATATGGATCTTGCTTGCCTCTTACTGCTAGCCACTTCATTATTAATTGACACTAGTCACATATCTTGGCATTCAAATGAGATTTACAGTGACATTTCTCCATATCGAAGATGTTTCAAATTTTTAAAAAATCTGAGACATTTTTTCTGATATGGGGAATGTATGAACAACAAACGAATGCTTCTACATGCCTTTGAAGTTTCAGCAAATATGTAAAGAATCAAGTGGTATGTATGTAGATATTCAAATTTCTGTAACAAGTGTATGACCATATAATATCATCCATATGTTCTCCTCAAAATCTGAGACACAATGCTCATTAGAATTATTCCAAATGGTTTCAGTTAATGGCATTAAATTCAGCAAGTGAATTGATTTCAGCCAATAACTATGTTTTCAGCCAATAACTCTGTTATATGGATCTTGCTTGCCTCTTACTGCTAGCCACTTCATTATTAATTGACACTAGTCACATATCTTGGCATTCAAATGAGATTTACAGTGACATTTCTCCATATCGAAGATGTTTCAAATTTTTAAAAAATCTGAGACATTTTTTCTGATATGGGGAATGTATGAACAACAAACGAATGCTTCTACATGCCTTTGAAGTTTCAGCAAATATGTAAAGAATCAAGTGGTATGTATGTAAATATTCAAATTTCTGTAACAAGTGGTATAGCAGTTTTCATGTTTCTGGAACACCTCATTTCCATCCTACACAATGAAAGTAATATATCCATCCTACACAATGAAAGTAATATATCCATCCTACACAATGACAGTAATACACCTCATGTTTCTGGAACACCTCATTTCCATCCTACACAATGAAAGTAATATATCCATCCTACACAATGAAAGTAATATATCCATCCTACACAATGAAAGTAATATATCCATCCTACACAATGAAAGTAATATATCCATCCTACACAATGAAAGTAATATATCCATCCTACACAATGAAAGTAATACACCTCATGTACCTGAAACACCTCATTAGAAGGAGGGAACACCTCATTTCCATCCTACACAATGATCACATGTTTTTATGGTGCCAATTGGCTGTTCTTTCACGTAAAAGCGTTGGCTGATGTTTGTAAAGATTTTTCTTGCTAATTGTGTTGTAATTTGCCTTAAGATTATGCATGACAATAGAGTTGAGTCTGCTAAAAGTCTTTTCAAGATTTTTTTTGCCTGAATCAATAACCATTTGCAGATAGATGATTGATATGTTGGGTGTGAGCAGGTTTTGTAAATAAAAAATGGGCCCAAAAGGTTTAGCTCCTTTACAGGAGGACATAGAATCTAATGATTTTGAAGATCAAGATGCTGATAGTTTGGCTGATATGATTGCTTTAAGGGAGTCTATCACAGATGCTATTTGTGGCTATTGATCAACCAAGTTTTCTTTTCATAAGATTTTAGGTTTATATTCATACCCATTTAATTATGTTTTTTTTTTTAAATACCTTAAGCTGACATTTCATTCTTTTGTTATTTTCACAGTTATACCAACATGACCTCCAGAATATCAAGTACAGACAGAGGGATTTTGTGTTATTGTGGACTACCGTCTCCGTTGCTAACGTCACGTAAGGAGCATAGCTTTGGGAGGCAGTTCTATGGTTGTGCCAGGGGTGTTTCAGCCCGTTGTGGTTTCTTCAGGTGGGCCGATAGTCCATCATATTACACTGACAGTAGTCATGCCAGCAGTCATGTGAATCCGATGTTTTTTCCGGCTGACAGTGCAGATGAGGACAGGCGTAGCCAGAGTCTTAAGTTGAATATTTTAATATTTCTCCTTGTTGTTGTACTTGTATTTGTACTTTTTTTAGTTATCCTGGTACTCATTAAGGTGTGAGAACTGTATGGTATCTTTTAGAAAAAATCTGTGATTATCGTATGTTTCTGCACTATATGTTTCTTTTCCAACAATAAGCTATTCTGAATAAGCTGCCCCAAACAGTTTTGATTCAAACAGGGGCATGAATGTCATTTAACCACCAATAAGTTGGTCTGAATAAGCTGCCCCAAACAGCAAGCCAGATTATTCTGATAATCTGCAGATTATCAGATTATCAGAATAATCTGCTTATCAGCAGATTATAAATAATCCACAGCTGCGCCAAACAGACCCTAAATCACAAGAAATATATGGAGTGCTTAATTTGATGTACTTGAGCAAAATTTAAAAAAAATTATTTGGTATTTGATAAAATTAAAAATAAGAGAAGAATGCATGGTACCAAATGTGCTTATATATTTGAATTGATATTATGATTTTGAATAATACATGAAATGTACTTAACATAGTTTGCACTAAACCTACATGACCATGTTGAAGGGTAAGGAAATTTATATTTAATGACATACGCATGGTAGAAGGGTATCAAATGATATTATTTAGGCAGCAAAGAAGTTTTCAATAGAAAAATAACTTACTTGGAATTTGAATTACTTCGGAAGTTCGGATGCTAGATGTTTCTAAGGATGTTTATTTTCACCAAGGCAATTGCCATTATATAATTTTGGAAGAAGAGTAGCCTTGCAAAATTCTTTAAATTTTTGCACTACTTAGGAAGAAGTGTATTTCATCCTTTGCAAAATTTTTACCTGACATATCATGTGTGATTTTTTTTTTAATGCTTTATTGCTAAGGTGTTCATGTATGTGAAAAGCACATCTACATAATTCTAGCCCAACTTATGTGAATGCCTAGAACCAAAGCTTAAAATTAATGTGCATTTATATAAACAACACAATTCTTTATGTATATTTACATATCTCACACCTAGACTCTCGCATTTATACACATAACACTCAAATATTTAATATCACATCAACATAGCACCATTATGACTACTTAAAGTGTATTGAATACGCTTTTGATGCATAAGTTAAAAGCAGCAAAGTGCTATGTATGTAAATATGAAAGCTTATGTGTGAGATATAGAAATACATAAGAATTGTGTGCTTTGTATTTAAATTTCTCTAAAATTAAAGGATACTATACGACATTAAAATCATTCTTGCCACTTACTCTTAAAAATTTCAATTGCAGGATCCTTGGGTGGCTTAGAGATGAGGAGGAAAAAATAATGGAGAACAACCTACCACAAATCAAATTCTTAATTGTTGAACTGTCTCGTATGAGAAAAGCTTTTGTTATCCCAAACTACTGTTTCGAGTTGTGCGACCAATTTTTAGTAACACTAAATCTCCATTCTTTTCGCAGCGGTCGCCGACATCGACACCACCGGAATCCATGTCTTTGAGGAGCTTCACAAGTGCTTGAAGAAGAAAGATATTGAGGTTTGGTAAACTTTTGATTTCACCAAAGCGAATTTTTTTTATTTCAAATACTTGGAAGGATAGAAATTTTTGTACAAATATTTGCATTTCACAGCTTATTCTTGTGAATCCGGGGCCTGCGGTGATGGAAAAGTTCCAAGCTTCCAAGTTTACAGAGTTGATAGGATGCAGCAAGATCTTCTTGACAGTTGGTGAAGCTGTAGCAAATTGCTCCACAATGGCTGCTGAACAAGCTTAAAGAAGAGAAAGCAAAACATGGGACAGTTTTGTAAATAGTTTTATTTAATGATGAAATAATCAGTGTGATTAGCTTGTAGATGTGAGGAAGCTCGGCATAGTTTAGAGTAGCTGAACAACGTTGCCTTGAGTGGGATAATAACTAGATAATTTGTGAGTTGTGGACTGAAAAATTATGCTGAGATTTGTTTTGATGTATGAATCTTATATTCTCTAGAAGGAAGGTTTACAGATGCCACTCAATTCTTATGCATTTACATATCTAAAGGCTATATTTCAATTTTTACATACATGACAACTTCTCTATGCATGAAAAGTTGTACTACACTTTTAGGCTCTGTTTGGCGCAGCTGCAGCTTTTCAACTTTTCAGCTGCAGCTGCGCTGCTTCAGGAAGCTGCTGTGGGAAAGCTGCTGCGGGGAAGCCGGCTGTCTGTTTGGTGCAGCTATGTGAAAACAGCGGTGGGTCAGTTGTTTATGAAAAAATGACTATTGTGCCCCTGTTTGCTAAAACTGTTTAAAAAAAGACCATAACAACCAAGTTAGAATAGTGGTACGTTTGACTTGATAAGAAAGATTTGGGGGTATTAATGTAAAAAGTAAAATTTAGGTGCTACGTATGTAAATACATAAGAATTGGATGGTATGCATGTAAGTGTCCCACTTTAAAAATGCACAAATGCCTCTTTTATCATGATTTCCTTAAGATTTTTTTTTTTAATTTATTTATTATTTATTTTTTAATTTAAAATCGGGAAAAAAAATCCCAAACAGCCCTAAAAGATTTAAGCGAGATAAAAGAAATTGATTTATATGACTTGAATTTACACGTTCTGGATTAGATTTATAAAATATTTTGATTAACTTGGCTAGTTAATAGCCATAAGCTTAGGTCAATTTGAAATCAATTTAGCTCTTAGTTAAAACAAATAAAAATCAGTACACTTAATTATGTTAATGAGACAGTTAATTATGATAATTATAATTTACTGATGACATATTTTTCTAATTAAATTGTCTTTAATTAATAATTACTTTAAATAAAATGACCAAATTTATTATATATTATTTAATATTGATTCATTTTAAATTATTTTAAATATAATATTCTCCAAAAAGTTTTCGAATGCAATATAAAATTGGCAGAATTTTTAATAGTTAGAATAGCATTATATGCATTTACATATTTTTAAACACTATTACAAGTGATAGAAGTGTACAATACATTTATTCATTCTGATATTTAATTAGAATTCATCACATTGTAAAATAAATATATAATTTTAGAATATTTTTTTTCCTCAAAGGAAATCAATATTTGACAGAGACCCAAATATCGATTTTCCATGTGCTTTTTCGCCCTATGATGAGAGCCCGTGTCATGTGCCTAAAATTCCAAAGCCCCCACGCCACTATGGGATCAAACCCTTGACCTGAGGGGACTTACAATGACCCCACCACCAACAGGTTAAGGCTTGCAGCACATAATTTTAGAATATATATATATATATATATATATATATATTATTTGCATGATAAAGATCATGTTGAGCATAAAATCATAACTGTTAAATACTCTACTTTGATCTCCCACTTTTATAACACCAAATCTATACATTATTTCAAATCAGAATCATATATTTGTTTGTAATTTTTAATTTTATGATGACGTCTTGTCGTTAGTTGTAAGCACATTAAAGAATTGCTTTTTATTTCTCTCAACAGTAGGGTTAACTTGAAAAACTGCAGTTTCTTTATTAGAACCTCCTCCTTCATCAGAACCATTAAAACGCCATTTAACTTTTTTTTCCTTTTTTAATGTAACGGTTTTAAGGCCTCCTAACAAAAATATATCTTATAAAGGATTTCAAATTAAAAGCACTTTGCTTCACTAGAGTTGTCCAAAAATGACCCGACACGCTAATCTGATTCGAGAAATTCGGGTTGGGGTTGATCTGATAAATTTTCTGGTCAAGTTCAGGCCCAACCTCCCAACAATTTAATTTTTTAGGTCGGGTTCGATTCGACTCACAAACTGTTCAACCCAAGACATAATGTTGCCCGCAAGATTCAAAATTTACCTAATATTCAACCAAATAACTATTATGCATATATTAAACTAGTTATGTGGATCAGATTCATGTCAGGTAAGTTGAAGTCACGTTTGGTTAAAGTTAAATTTTTTGATGCATTTAATATTCATGTAAGGCTCAAACCAAATAGTTTCGGGTTGGACCTGAGCCTGACCTGTGAAACCAATTTGTATCAGTCTGAAAATAATATTTAATTACATGTAACTTTGCTTCCACTGTTGGAAATTGAAATACAAATGACACCCACGTACATCTGTGCCAATCATTGAACCCATAATATCTTTTATGAATATCAAAATCCTTAACCAACAGCCTAAGTAATTAAAACTATGCCATTATTGTGCTCACTTTTACAGTTTCATACTCTATCTATAATAATGCATTTATGCAGTAGATATAATAAAGTTTCTAAACAACCAAAGTCTTCTTCATTGAATATTGTTTAAAGTTGAAAGAAGTTGTTGCCTTTTCAAGTTAAACAAACGTCCTCTAGCGCCTGATTGTTCTACTGAAAAAAGGTATGCCGCCCATTTATTGTTATACTTCATATTGTACCCCTCTTTTATTAATTACGCAAATAACAACTGCATGCTTGCTTTTGTAATTTTAGAGATTTTGTTTGATCTCTGAGCGGAGGAGAATCAAAGCAGTAGAAAGTAACATAACGCATCTGTCAAACAATAGCATATATTGGTTGAGAATAAAGCGAAAATTTTCTAGCATAAAAATGATTTTTTTCCCTCTTTTCATCTGTTGGGCTCTTCTTTTACATCTGTGAAGTTGTTCGCTGTTTTTATGAACATGAAAGCTTTTCTTGTCCTCAATGGAGTAAATAGAATACTTGTTTTCAATGATTTGATGATGTAAAAGTGAAGAAAAATTAGATATGTTGCAGGACGAATAATAGGGAGAGTGTGTGCATAAAAATGTGTTCTCCTCTGATTCATTGGTCGTAAGTGGGTGAGAAAATGTTAGATGCATCGCACGCACCTACAACCAACGAATAAGAAGAGAGAGGTCAAGGAGAGAGAGCGTAAATGCAGGAGAGTAAATTCTAATATTTCTCGTAAAAATGGGTCAATTTTCAAATAAAATATTATTATAGGATCTAATCATATGATATATATATATATTAAAAGAATTGCCAGATGTTATTAGACGAGCCCCGATCATCTCTAGATGTGTTAAATATTCGAGTACTACACACGGAAGGAATCGAACCCGTGACTTGAGGATACTTACAACCTTCAGAGAGACTACTCTACCAACAGACCTATATATAATCTTCTATTTTATTGAGTTCAAATATATTTTCTATATATTTCGTTGTTTTCTATTCTCTTAATATATTTATTACAGATTCATCCAGCCAACTTTGATACCAAAATCACGTGATTACGTGAACAGCTTAGAAATGAGAGAAATCGAATAAAGCGTTGAATGCATGCCTGCTCTTTTCCCCATCATAAGCAAATAGTCTCCCAATTAATTACTGTACCCGCGCCCCATTAATAACAGTACCCCATAAACTTAATCTAAAAAAGGTGATTAATGACTCAAACATAATCCGTGCTGCACATTACACTCCAATTAAAAATAGTAATCCAAATACGTAATTCAATTCCTTCAAAAATGCTGCTTCACACAGTTCTTAGCCTGCAACGCTGAGCATATTACAGCCACATTAGCATCAATAAAATTTAAATTCTTCACTTTATTTATGCCCGTACCCCCCCATTCGATTCAACTGTCTTGAATGCTCATTATATCCAATCGAAGTTCAATAAACAAAAGTCAACTGATAAGTTGACTTCTAGTGTTCATGCTGCTCTGTATATATATGGCTTCCTATAGTTCTTGCAGAGGAACAGATTCACCAATGGAAGTAGTAGATATAGATATCATTTCTTCTTCTCAGCGGCGGTCTGATAACTCACCACCGGCTTATAATGTTGGTCTCCCGCCACCACGAAGTTTGGTGAGTCAACTCGGAGAAAAACTGAAAGAGACTTTATTTACAGATGATCCATTGCGGTCTTTTAAGAACAAGAAAAGAACAGAGCAATTAGTAACAGGACTTCAATACTTGTTCCCAATTCTTAAGTGGGGGAGAGAGTACAATCTCATTAAATTGAAAGGAGATGTTGTTGCTGGTTTAACAGTGGCGAGCCTCTGCATTCCTCAGGTTTGTCTCATTTTATAAATAATGTTTTTGTTTTTTGGTTTGTTAAGGCTTACATTGTAATTTTTTTTTTGTTATTGTTAATAGGCTATTGGGTATGCTAGCCTTGTAAACTTGGATCCACAATATGGGCTATGTGAGTCATCTTTTCTATGATTAATTCAATTACATGCATATATACCACCGGCCAATTTCGATGTATTTACATATTTAATATTTAAACTATGTTTTTTACATTTGTACCACCCAAATCTTTCCTATATAAAAAAGATCACTATTTAACTTTTAAAAAGTGAAATACCTACACCTTTTTATCCTCACAAAAGGTGACATATATGTTTAAATTGAAGTAGAGGTGTTAGATATGTAAATACATGGGAATTAAGTGGTATGTCTGTAAATATTCCTAATAATAATAATAATAATAATAATAATAATAATATTAATAATAATAATAATATTAATATTAAAAAAAACATTTTTTTTTCGTTGGTTATGTAGATTCTAGCTTTGTGCCACCACTTGTGTACGCTGTTCTGGGAAGTTCTAGAGATATTGCCATTGGCCCAGTGTCTGTTGTGTCTCTTTTGCTTGGCAACCTTCTTCAGGAAGAGTTTGATTACAGGAAGAACAGTGCAGAATATTATAGGCTGGCATTTACTGCTACATTCTTTGCTGGTGTCACTGAGGCAACACTTGGATGGCTGAGGTAAAATCAAACAATATGATCTTCTAAATCTTATCATTTTGAACTCTTGTGTTGATGGTACTATAAGGGTTAATGAATTATATCATTTGAATTTTTGTTCTTCAGATTAGGATTTTTGATTGACTTTCTATCTCATGCTGCTATTATTGGATTTATGGGTGGGTCAGCCATTACAATTAGCCTTCAACAAATGAGTGGATTGCTTGGTATTAAAAACTTCACCAAGAAAACAGATATAATATCTATGATGAAATCTATCTGGGGTTCAGTTCATCATGGTGTAAGAACTGTGTTATTTTTTTCATCAAACAAGGAAAATCTTTTTGTTGGTAATGTATAATAATCGATGAAAATGTTTGTTTATTTGTAGTGGAACTGGCAAACTATAGCTATTGGGATGTCCTTCTTAGCATTCCTTCTTCTTGCTAAATATATAGTGAGTGATTTTATCATAATTCAAGTGGGAGAATCTAAGATTTGATTTTTTGGTACACAAATAAAGTCTTAATTTTCTTGTAAAGGGAAAGAAGAAAAGGAGTCTCTTTTGGGTGCCAGTAATTACACCACTAATCTCTATAATTCTTTCCACTTTCTTCGTATACATCACCCAAGCTAACAAAAATGGCGTTCATATTGTAAGTACTCAGAGCTAGCATCAGTTATTTTTGTTTGAAGTTGTAAGATGAGTAAATATTTACTGAAAGTTGAACTAATTTTGATCTATGTAGGTAAACCATATAAAAAAAGGCATCAATCCATCATCGGCACATCAAATTTACTTCAGTGGTTCAAATCTTATAAAAGGAGTAAAGATTGGTGCAATTTCTGGGATGATAGCATTGACTGTAAGTCTTGATTGTTTATTAACAATTCAAAGTTCTTCTAATTGATACCAGTATACATGACTTAAATAAATTTCTTTGATATATTTAGGAAGCTGTGGCAATTGGCAGAACGTTTGCTGCCATGAATGATTATCAGTTGGATGGAAACAAAGAAATGGTGGCCCATGGAACTATGAATATTGTTGGGTCTTTGACTTCTTGTTTCATAGGCACTGGTAAGGAATGTATCCTCGATGGCATTGTAAGGAGAAGCAATTGTTGAAATATAAACTTGATTTTTTGTTTTGGGCCTTAGTTGTTTAAATAATGCCCAATAAGAGCCTAATTTCTAGAAGCATGTTCTAGAAAAGTTTCATCTAAAAACTTATTCTAAAGTAATCCATAGAGTTGTCTAGAATGTGTGGTAGGTATGAAATTATAAAGAAAATTCTAGAGAGTCATTTGTAACCATTAGATTAAGTAGTGGCATAATTCTAGACATTAATTTAGGAGATGTCACTAATATAAATAGGGGTAGAGTCTTTGAGTTTTTATTAAGCTAAGAAAAGGTGATAAATAGAAGTGTAGCTTCTTCCATAAATTTTTAACCTTTGTCAAATCCTAAAAGCTTCTCCATTTCAACAACAATGAGGGTCCATGGATCTTAGGGAGAGGACACTGTCAACATAAGCTATATAAGACGAACTAGAAACACTCTAGGGTTTAACGAATCACCTAGGGTTTATTAAATGATAAGTGAATCAATTGAGTGCTGAATTATCTTAGAGTATGAGAGTGAAAAATCAGTAACGGGAGTCTTGTTTAGTGTGACCAAGTTGTGAATTAGGCTGAAAATTAAGCTAAGTTATGATGTGGCCATGTTAGATTTAGTCTAAAGAAAGGCCAACAAGAAAATATCCATTGTGGCCACTCCAACAGCCTTTTTGTTATGTATATTTCTAATCAAATATTATATTCAAAGTATAAGCATATGAGTGAAAAATAAAACTTTTAATACAATCAATTGTCATTCTTCAATTGCTCAAATAACTATATGTGCAGTTTTTTAGATTCACCTGCTCTTGAAACTTACTAAACTATGATACATGAACACCAGGTATTCTGAACATCATAAACTATATGAATCGCTAAGTCTCAGCAGAATTATTTTCTTTGATATCATTTGTAAGATGGCCCAAGATTTAGACTAAGTAATACATGAGGGCCTATTAAGATCCACATGAGAGTGGAGATTCATTTCCTATCAATAGTTAAAAATTAGATATACTCCAAATATAATAGTATTGTACCTTGCACATTAGTCTAAGCTTTTAGGTTAAATGATGCCAATCTTCATGTGAATTCACTCTTCAACTGTCAACTGTTAGTATATTTGTTTCAACAAACTTTCTACTTATGTAATATATAACTAAGATTTTACTTATATCAAGAAATTAATGCTTACTTTTTCCTTCTTTATTTTCGAATTAGGTTCCTTCTCAAGATCAGCAGTGAATGACATGGCTGGTTGTCAAACAGCTGCATCTAATATTGTTATGTCCATAGCAGTAGGGATGACATTAGAGCTCATCACTCCCCTCATCAAATACACACCAATTGCAATTATTTCCTCCATCACTATCAATGCTGTGATTGGCCTCATCGACTATAATGCAACGATACATATCTGGAAGGTTGATAAGATGGACTTCATTGCCTGCATGGGAGCTTTTTTTGGCGTGCTTTTTGTAAATATTGAGATTGGTCTCTTGATTGCTGTAAGAGATTTGTTATCCTTCTGTTCAGTTGATTCTGAGTACAAACAGTTATCTAAGCTTGTTTTTTTTTTCCAAATTGCAGGTTTTAATATCGATTATAAAAATCCTTCTTCAGGTGACCAGACCAAGAATTATTTTACTGGGAAATCTCTCTGGGACTTCAATTTACAGGAACATTCAACAGTACCCTGAGGCAAATAGAGTTCCCGGATTTGTAATTGTAAGGGTTGATAGTGTCATCTACTTCTCAAACTCTAATTATGTCAAGGAGAGGTACAAAACCCATGAATTGATAATTCTCTTATATTTGGATGTTAAAACATTAAGATAAATAGAAGCTATGTTAGCTCCTCTTTGTTTAACTGGCTTTGATATATGATGATAAGTATAGCAGAATACAAGAGACCAACTGGGCATTTATATTTAAGTTGATATTTTGATGTTGATAATTAATGAGTCCTTGTGTTGCACAAAAAGTGAAAAAATTTGAAATGTATCGAATGATATTACTTGAGGAAAAAAACTTGATTAGAGTATCAATGGCTTTGGAAGCAAGATAGCGATGAAGATAATTATCTTTAATTTGTGACCCAATAGTCAGGATGGACTTTAAGCTTGCATTTTTATGAAGAAAAAATCATGCAATATACTCTTAATGGTGTTATATCTTAGGAAGAAGTGTCTTCCATACCTAACAAATATTTTTGTACAGTATATCACAAGTTAATAATTTTTTATTTTTCTTTTTGCATTACTACCATGGAGCTGATGCTTATGAAACCATCATCTATATGTTTCTAGCAAGCCCATGACATGTGAATACTCATAAACAAGCCTTAAAAACATTTTAAAAATGCATTTTCTTGCCCTTAATCTTGAAATTTCAATCGCAGGGTCCTTAGGTGGCTAAGGGATGAAGAAGAAAAACAAAATGAGAACGGACTACCAAAAATCAGATACTTGATTGTTGAACTATCTTGTAAGGAAAAAACTTACATGTCTGTTATCCTAAACTACACTTTTGAGTTCTGTGACTCTTCCCATGGTTGCCACTAGCTTATTGTAACACTTCCACCATTCTTTCTACAGCGGTCACTGACATCGACACCTCTGGAATCCATGCTCTTGAGGAGCTATACAAGAGCGTGAAGAAGAGAGACATAGAGGTAGAGCTGTCAAAACGTCCCGTTGTTCGCAAACAGCTCGTGTTTGGCTCGTTAAAAATATCGTGTTTGATTTGTTCGCTACGTTAACAAGCCGAACACAAACACTTTTTTGTACTCGATACATAAACAAGCCATACACGAATAAAAATTTGTTCGTTCATGTTCCGCTCGTTTTGGCTCGAAATACTACTCATCAATTATATATATATATATATATAGTAGTAGTTTTTAAAAATTAAATTGACTACAACAACGCTACAGAGATTTATAATCAATTAAAATTATTAATTAAAAAATAGAATAAAAATATATTAAATTATATTTAAGTGATGTTTTAATATAAATAATAAGATTTAAATCTTGCACAACCCTTAACATCATACGACTGCATGATTATGTTCGACTCACTAAGCAAACAAGTTGAACATAAAGAGTAATATTTTTTACACCCCTACATAGAGGTATGATTAGGGCTATCAAAATGACTCGTTGTTTGTGTACAGCTCGTGTTCGACTCGTTAAGTAGCTCGTATTCGATTCATTCGCTAAGCAAACGAGCCGAACCTGAACAATTTTTTTCCCTTGATATTTAAATGAGCTGAACAAGAACAAAGTTTTGTTCGTTCGTGTTCGGCTTGTTTTAGCTCGAAATAATTATATATATATATATAATGAGTATTATTTTAAAATAATTTAAGTAACTACAATGCTACAAAGATTTATAATCAATTAAATTTACTATTTAAAAATATAATAAAAATATTTACAAATTCTATTTAATTGAATATTTTAATATAAATAACAAGATTTAAATCACGCCCTACCCTTACCATCCTACAACTGTGTGATTTGAGTTGTCAAGATGGCTGTTCGTGAATATCTCGTTTCGGCTTGGTTAGCAAGCGAGCTAAACACAAACAAATTTTTTGAGCTCGATATATGAACAAGTCGAACACGAAGAATGATATTTTTTGACAAGCCGAGTATGGACTCGCTCAAGCTCTACTCGTTTATAGCCCTAACATCTGCATGCATGACTAGGGTTGTTAATATGATTTTTTGTTCACGAATAGCTCGTGTTGGGCTTGCTAAACAAAGGAGCCGAACATGAACAATTTTTTTTTGTTCGAAATATAAACGAGCCGACCATGAATAGCGCTATTTTTTAAGGAGCCGAACACGTGTTGAGTCTAGTTCAACTCGTTTGCACCCCTAGGTATGATGAACTATTGATTTCGTCTGAGCAAATAGTTTTATTCAAATGCTTGTAAGGATAATTCATTTCAACTTTTTTTGGCCCTTCATAGCTTATTTTTGTAAATCCCGGGCTTGGTTTGATGGAGAAGCTCCAAGTTTCTAAGTTTACAGAGTTGATAGGCAATGGAAGGATCTTCTTAACTGTTGATAATGCCGTAACAATGTGCTACATAAATGCTAGTGAAGAAGCTTGAAGAAGAGATACAATTCGGTAAATATGCTTATTCAACGTTGAAAGACTTCATGTGATGAGTTTTTAGATAATAAAGGGAAGCTTCGCATGTTATAGGTGAAAAGCAAAGCTCATAGACCAAGTTATTCATTAGAGGGTTCTGCTCATTTTATAAGAAAATAATATGTATAATATAAAGCTATGGTTAAATAGTTTGCTAAATAATAGTTTGCTAAATAATATTTATTCTAGCTTTTAATTATAGTCCTAAGAGCTAAATATTTACAATTACACAAATCAATTGCATAAATTTCTAGTCATAATTAATAGAAGAATAATTTTGTCTTAGCTCTACACAAATTAAAGTTTTTTCCTCAAAAAACATCATTTTGCTAATAAAGAACTAATGTTATTGTGTCATTATCTACACAAATGTCTCTAATCTATATATTTTCAGTAGCAAAAGAGAAAGAATATGAGTGGCAACGGTTCTTGCATTGAGTGACAACCAACTTCAATATATTTTTTTGTACAATAATGACTTTGACATTATATGCAAGTAGAAGAATGGGCCTTTTATAAAAAGGCAGTTCAAATAGAAATATGTAACACTTGAGGCTATTTTTACTTTTTCATGAGATCAAGGAAACATCAAGCAATATAAATAATTTTTTGAATGGCCATTGAGTTTCAAGGCATTTGACCCAATTAACATCACTATATCACAACACAATAAAGAGAATAATTGATTAGAAATAACAAATCATAACTCGTTGTCATAATAAAATATTGAATGATCTGATAAATAATAGGCAAGTGAGTGAGAAAAATTTCGCATGAAAAGTCATGTTGAATTATAAAGAGAATATCAAGTTGAGTAATTGTCAAATAGTTTAACCAGCCAACCAATTGTATATGCGCACTATAAATAAAAATAAATCTTCTTCCACACTAGATAAATTATGTTTAATTCTAATAGAGTATTTGAAGGGAATAATTTTGGGGGCCAACCAATGAAATCAAATACTATGTATACTTATGTTGGTTTAAGAAAATAAAAGAGGAATTAGCACGAACCTTCAAACTTAATGAGGTAATTAAATAAAAAAGAAATTTTATATTACATGCGACTTATTAAAAGATATTGTTGTAGATGGTTAATCGGATCATAAAATATTCTATTAATAACAATGCCATCAAAATAGATCTTTAAAAGGGCAATCCTATTAAATTACTTGGAAAAAAAATAATGATGAGTCATTTTCACTCCGTGTAATTTAAAGCATAAACAAAGTTTGATTGACATACTTTTCTTAGTCAATATGGGGAATGCTTCAATCTACATATATCTAAATGAGAAGAGGCAAAAGCAATAGGTGAAAGATCCATTTGAATATTCTCTTTAAGAAGAACAATCAAGAGGCAAAAGTATTTTTAGTGTCCATTTTAGAAGTGGACTTCTTTATGAAGATCAATCAAGATATTTATTCTTATTGAAACCATTTTAGCCACCATGAGAAAAAATCCTTTTCAATCTCCTATTCTTATGTGTTTCTAAGAAAAAAATCTAAATATACCATATAGGTATCTTGAGTGCCATTAGAGTGAAAGATGGTTTAGTAAGCCCATCAACTATTGGATTTATTATTTGGAAGATGATGAACAATCTTACATGTATGATTATCCTAGTGAGCTCGAAGTCCTTTAGCCATACATGCCTTCATGTAATAATGTTTACTATATTCTAAATAGTAGACAAGAATGGGAATTAAGGCTAATATAGTGTGAAAACCGTACCAATAGTGTGCATTTAAATTTTTTTAATATATATATATATGTATTGTAGAAGGGTTTGCTAGCTTACCCAACACCATGATAAACTCAAGAAAAAAATTGAGCGAGATGGAACATGCTTGCTAGATATGTTTATTAATATTCGCAAAATTAGAAAATAAGTATGAATGGATCGGTGAGGGCATGTGAATTGAGGAATATTTTATTATGTAAAAATAAGAAAAAAGAATAAACATAGCAATGCTTTTGACTTTATGAACATAGCCATCTAACTCTATATTTTTGAAACTCCTTAAGTAGAATGAAGTTGAACTCTTAAACTTAGAGGCACGTTATGATGTCTTAGATGGGTGACCTTCTCGGATGTTATATCAATGGGAAAAAGCTGTGAGGCTACTAAACCAAAAAGAATAGTACCTTGATGAGAGGTAGTTCAAGCTGTCATGAATGGTATAAGAGTACCAAATTCTGGAAACTAAGTGTCATACGTAACAAAGTGTTACACTATGGGAGCCACCTCTTAAACCATGATGGGAAAATATTTTACATGATGGGAGTCACCCCTTGAATCTCTAGGGCCACCTCTAGAGTCCAATATGCCTGGTAAATGATTTTAGGTGTAGAGCACTAAAGAGAACTTCAGATACTTAAGTGGGAGAGATTATCAGATCTCTTAGGTAGAATGAAGCTAAACTCTTAAACATCAAGACCCTTTTAGTGTAACAATATAATTTTATTAGAAACTCTAAAGTTAAACTTGTTCTTGATGGAGCACTAAGCCTAGCCACAAAAGCACAATTAAACTAAAAAAATCATTAACCATAAGTCAAGTAAAGATAAGATCATATAGAATATTATTGCTTGATGGTAATGCATAATATTGTGTTCAATATTGTATAACACATATCGTATTGTGCTCAATATGGTAACACATAATATTATGTTCAATATTACATCACCTAAAATAGGAATTTTCTAAGATAAGCTATCTATGATTTTTATGAATGCAACCTATAGTATGTAAAACATGTATTACTAATCAATCTATTAAGAGCAATATTTTGATCAATATTGTGTTCAAATGTGTATTGTTAGGCTTAACTCATATAAGTTGAGTTTAATTCTAAAGTATTTAGTCAGAAAAAAATAATCAAGGAAATACATAGGTGCAATGTATAACACATATGGTTGTAGGATGTAATCTAGATAGAAATGTTTTATGCTAGTGTTAAACATTTCTAAAGAAATAAATAGCTAATGAAAAGTCACTAGAGAAATACAAAAAGAAGGAGGGAGAAATCAAGTTACCATCTTTAGATTTATGTCAAATTCTAGGGATTGTCTAAGGGAGTCAGAGGATAGCCGACCACAACCTTAGTCCTAGTTATCGAAGGCCAATAGCCAAGGGTCGTCAATGGTCCCTTGAAGGAACCAGAACTGAGCAAAGCCAAATGAGAAAATGAGAAAGAAAAGTGAGTTATTCACTGGTCGCCTAGAGCTTTAAGAAGTTTGGGGATGGATCAATGATTGATATTGTAGCCACATAGTTTAGCTTCTGCAATTTTTGTCGTTATTCAGCTTCTTTCAAGTGATATGGTAAAAATTCGCTGATCAACGACTGAAACCGCAATCACATAATTTAGAGACTGAAATTTCAATCACAATTTAGCTGATTTTATGTGTTTTGGTAAATAACCATCTAATAACTACCAAAATGTTAGGCATAAAATTATGCGACTGTTGTATTGATCGTCGATCAGCTGTTAAAGTTAAAAGTAGCGATTGCAGATGTTAAATTACTAAATGAAAAAATCAATCGGTGATTTGCATATCAAAATTATCAGTAGTTTTCACCCATGGTGAAATAGAGGGCTTAGCTATATGATGATTGTGAAGATTACTTTCTCACTCCTCACATGCAGTGGTGTTATGTTACTTTCTCATTTGAATAAGATTTTGCGGGGGCAAGATGATGATGACTTATAGTTTAGCCATCTACTGCACATGGCTGATATGGACTATCTCTATATTTTCTGTGGTAATGATGCAACATGTTTGGATGGTCTAGAACTTCTCAGGCAACCACAATTTGGGGTCTTCAGCAAAATTAATTCAAAGTAACCACCAACAAACTTTATTTGGATAATGCAAGGATGGGGCAAATGCCTTTAGATTTAGTCAAGGTAAGCATTACCCCAGATTGTAGAAGCATGTAGGTTTGTATTGAAGGTGAATAAAACTCATGAATTATTGCAAGGTAGCAGTGCTATAAATTAATAGTAAAAGATTTTTATATTTAAAATTCAATCCTAACAAGTTGGTCCACCAATTAAAAGAGGCTAAAACAAGGCTTCAACGACAATGAACCAGTCAATCCATAACTAAACTAATGAGTTTTCTTTGGAGGACAAAGCAACACTCATTTCTTTAAACCAAACATGAGATTCACACCACATTCAACCTTTGGCATCAATATACAAGTCATTCAACAACTCCATGAAAGAAGAAAACTAAATCCTAGCAAATTTGAAAATATTAATTATAATTAATGATTTGTCCTGTACTATCTTGGAATACTATCACAAAATGTCATTTTATCCCAGTGATTCCTCGTCCCTTAATTTCAACAGGATTCCAAACAAGAAAATTTCTTTGCTATTGGTGAAAGCTTTTTTCTTTTAATGGAGCTGAAATCAGCAGCACCATCTTGAAAAAGTACATCTCTCTCTCCACCAACACCAAAAGAATTTCTCATTAGTTTTTTTTTTCCCCCTTTCTTGCTGTTATCTTGATTTACTAGTGATTATGAAACCTCTTTCTGAAACTCTATTTTCAGTGATAAAAATATATGAGTTCAATGATATATATAACTAAATATAAGATTTTATAAGATTTCTCAAATTTATAAATAATCTAATAGCCATAAAAAAAAAAGAAAATTCAATCATAAATTTTAAAAACTCAAGCTAATATTGAGAATAAATTGGTGATTTAAATCATATTCAATATAAATTTGGTGGGATAAAATTTTAAATCCATAATTTCATCAACTACCACCGACCGAGCGCATATCACTGAATCAAGTCATGAGATTAAACACAATTAAGCTTTACATTGTAAGTCTCATGAGGTCTATTGGATATGATAGCAAGAGAAAGAAGAGGAAGAAAGTTCAAGATAATTAATCAATTTGCTCAATGAATTTCAAGTTTTTTTTCAGCAGATTTG